TCTCTCTGTCTGTCTGTGTGTGTGTGTGTGTGTGTGTGTGCGTGTGCGTGTGTGTGTGTGTGTTATAAGCTTCCCCCACAACAACCCCTATTCCAACCAGATGAGTAGAACCGGACTGAGTCCGCCCAAAAAAAAATTCTTTATAATAGAACCATTTTGAACCGTGTTTAGCTAGGGTTTCTTTGGGGCAACAGCTCCTCTTTCACTTTGCCTCGCACGTACAAGGCTGCCCACGTTGATGGTTGTTGAGCGGCAGCTGCCCACATCCCCGTGTGCCTTAACGGCCCACTGCCACGTTATAATAAGAGGCAGAGTAAAGGGGAAGGTATGCTCCTGTGCACTTCAGTTCAGATCTTCATACTCCTGTTCATTTCACTTCAGATCTCCAGCTGTTCATTTCCCTTCAGATCTCCAGCTGTTCATTTCACTTCAGGTCTTCAGCATATGCTTAGTCTTTGTGTCTGTCATTCGTCTTCATACTCCTGTTCATTTCTCTTCAAATCTTCGACTTATGCTTTGTCTGTACTCTTACTGATGCTCATTCGTATGTATTTCCTAGTTGCACATAAGGAGAGGGCGGAGGGAAAGAGACAGGAGGTAAGTTTGTCAGGACGTGAGGTAGGGGGAAAGCAGAGTGCAAGGGTAGGGCAGGCGAGAGGTATATGATGGGCTTCRCAGAATTCTAAACACTCACCGCTGGAATAGCACATGAGGTTCATTGGTGTTTGGGTTGCACAAGATTTTGAGYMAAGGAGCAGTTATTGCCTATGGTAAGTGACCATCCCTACAGACCGGACAGGACCGGTTCGGGTGTGGACTGTGGAAGCACCGCATCCAGTTTTCGCAGTCACAGTTGCTGCATCGAATGGCACGGCGCAGACAGATGTCACAGGCAACGTGGCTCCTACATGCTAGGAACACGGAGGCACGTCGACCACAATTATAGAGGCACTGCCGTTCTAGCCCCTGTCTACAAATTGGACATGACGTGTCAGGGTGCCGTACATGAGTACAGTGCTGACTGTCGTCGTAGGTATGAAACAGAAACTCGCATGGACTATTCCTTCATAATCCTCACGGCACAAAGCATGTGAACCACATGCTAGTTGAATCTCCGGCGGGTCATCACATAGCGGCATAGAGCATGTTTCTTGGGTTTCCTCAGTATTTATTCCTTCTGTATGGGCAGACGACGACAGGGAGGGTCGGTCCAAAGCAAGGGCGTTCAGCTGCTGCAGGATTTGGTCCACAACAGCTCGCCTTGATGGTGATAAGCGATCAGTACCCCGCTCTGAAGCTGGTTCATATAGAGGCCCATTTTCCTCCTCGGGCTGCTGTGTGTGTCGCACGTCTGGCAAGGAAGAGGAAGAACCCTCTGCGGTATCCGTAGGTGCATGACCAACACCGCATGTGGGACATGCTAGGAGAGGATGTGGTGGGTGATGGCACCGGGGATAGTCCCAAAGTAAAGACACATACTTTCTATGACTGCTTCCTGGAAGCACTGACGACACATGGCATGTTGCTGACATGTCATCAGCATGGAAGAATGACATGCACAGTTATTTAAGCATGGCAGATCAAGGCCACAACGGCATGCTGGGCAAGTAACCAGGGGGTGGGGGGGATGAGCACAAGACAAGGGATCACAATTTTCGTGGGAGAGGCTAGCAGCGACCATCCCTTCATAATGTTCGGAGCAGAGGCTATGCCGTGTACACGCCAACCGAACTGTACCTATGCCACTGCACAATGGGAGGGCACAGCCACTATCCTCTGGAGAGGTCCGTTCAATGTTTGTGGTAGGACCAGCCAGATTGCTCTGCAGGGGGTGTAGTGCTTGCGAGTGGTGATCGACATACTGTTCCTGATGGACGAGCCAGACTGCGTGATCCTCCTCCATTTGGTGATAGAAAGAATTAACATTTCCTGTTGTGCGCACCCTGCCGCCGTTGTCCCATAGGGTCCATGAGTTATCTGCAAAGGTTAAAGCACTAAAATGACCTGGACGATATAAGATATATGCCCGAATGTTTGGATACATGCCTGGCACGTGGTTTTGTGGGGCAGGCTGGAATTGTAGTCGCCTACCCATAAATGCCATAGCCAGGACTTCTGTGTTCACACCAGGTGCAGCACTGTCGTCCTCTGGGCATACGGCACGGTGCTCTTCTTCTATCCAGCTGACAACGTCTGCGAACTCAGCAACCGAATAAGGGTTACAATTGTAGGCATGGAGACATGCATTGATGGCATAGTACGCACAGCGGCCTCGCTGTAGCGCTATGACATCGTTGGATTCCGCGGGTTGTGCTGGAGATTCGTTCACAGCAGGAGGAGATTCGTTCGATTCTGCAGAATGCACAGGTGGAGGAGACTCATTGCGGTCTTGACCAATTGGCTCTAGTATGCGCTCCGGAGAGAGACGATCTTCAATCCGGGGCTCCATCAGGTAGCCAGAAGACAGGTCAATGTCATTTGGGGCAGGGGAAGAAACGGGGCAAGTTGGATGAGAAAGGGGCGGGTCAGGGGGGTGAGAACTGGGTGGATCAGATGCGGAAAGTGGAAGCTGATCAGCTGCACTTGTGCTTAGAGCGGCTGCCAGTCGTGCAAATGCTGCACAAGTAACTGCACCTCCTGTCTGGTGCACACGGAGGCCTGCAGCACTGAAGAAATCATCCCCCCATTGCGGGCATCGGACTCAGCGTGTACTATTCCTGGCTAGTGTGTATCGAAGGCGACGCTGTCGTTCCGAACGGTTGCGAGCATGTCGGCGGAGCAAATCTCTAGTAGCCGTTGGAGGCGCGGTGATCAAGCCGTTCACGGCTAGACGAGGCCGCTGTCTTGGGGACGGCAGTGGAGACAGAGAATGGACCCGCCGAAGAGGCATCTGCAATGGCTGGTCCAACGTCGTATGCGTCCGCCGACTGGGCCTTTGTCGTAGCTGATCCGACCATCAATGTGATGATGGTGATGATGATGTTGAGGTTGATGACGATGATGCTGGCAGCGACGGCGGCTGCGATAGTGGTGCTGAAGGTGGTGGGGAGGGTGGTGTGTGTGTGTGTGTGTGTCTGCTATCCACTGCTGTGTACAGGTCTCGCGAGGAGGTTTGTGGCTGTGGCCTCTATGTTGTGCATGCAGGGGCCTTCCACTGCCTGGCGCTGTCAGTCTCTCTCCAGCCTTGCAGCGCCCAAGAAAGATCCGGACTGTCCCTAGGCCGTTCTTGGGACCCAGCTGTGACTTGACCAGGACTTGACACATGGTGAAGCTCCACTTTAAAAAAACACACAGCAAAACAGGTCCCTTCTGGGCCAGACTCCTTATTTATTCTGGGAAGCAGGGTTGCATCGGCGCCGACCGCCGACCCCGACCGCCGACCGTTTTATCCCGACCGATCAGGGCCGACCGGTCGGCGGTCCGCCGACCAGTCAGAAAACAGGCATCCGCTGCTTTTTTTTTTTTCTGATGGCGCAGCCTTACTGCGCTTGCTGAGTACAGCCCAAATCCGCAGAGAAACTTTTTGGGATGGGGGAGGGGTATGGGGGGTTGGGGTTGGAGCATACCTGCGGCGCAAGTGTGCTGGTCACCGATGCG